GTGGGTTTGAATAACCGTTTTGTGTAACCAGGCTCAAGCCTTGGAAACTTGTAAACCCTTGGGGGTATTTATTTGTTTATTTACTTGTTGTTGGATTAATGTAAGTTTGGGTTCGACTACTAGTATGGCATGTGAGTCAATTCAAGGCATGTGATAGCGCATGTATGCAAGTAAGGAGTTTGAATTTGACATTTGAATAATATGATGAGCTGAACTTTTATGCCTGTAAACGAATGGATGCAAATCATGGAAAATGCTAATTAAACATGATGTCTCTAATCTAACCATCATAAGCAGTGAAATAAAAGGGAGAAAGAATGGGGGTTGGAAGACATACAACTTATTACATATTTGTCCTCGCGAATGAGGGTTTTATGTCTTTGGTAGTAAATCTCCTAAGAGATTAAATCAGTAAGCATAGAACGTTGTATATTTTTGGTAATGAACCTCTTAAGCATAAAACGTTTTATGCCTTTGGTAGTGAATCTTCAAAGAGATTAAACCATTAAGCATAGAACGTTTTATACCTTTGGTAATAAACCTCCTAAGCATAAAATGTTTTATGCCTTTGGTAGTGAATCTCCAAAGAGATTAAACCATTAAGCATAGAGCATTTTATACCTTTGGTAATGAACCTCCGAAGAGATTAAACCATTAAGCATGAAAGAGTTCCTTTCTTATACTTGAATCACAATTTTAATTTTTCACAACTTTTTAATCGAAATAAGCAAAGAAAGGAGGGAGGTTGCAGAGATGATTATGCGAAATTGATTAATTGGTTAGTACAAACAAACTTGATATTTAAAACATAAATCATTGAAATAAATTAAATAGCTCCCTAAATAACATACAATAGTTCTGAAATTAGAAACCTACCACTTCTACTATTCACCGTCGGAGATACTATTTATCGTCGGGGTTACTATTCGCTACCGGAGGTACTATTCACCGCCGGAGGTTACTATTCATCCGGTGGGATAAATTATTTAAAGTAATAAATTACAACAGTTTATATACAATGTTTAAATTACAGCAGATATGTAGGTGGTGCAGCCTTCCCATTAAAGCGATAAAAAAAAAAAGCAGTTATGAAAAGAAGTAAATGAAGTATTTAAAGAAATTATATCACATTTTTAAATTAAATAAAAATTTGCGAAAACTCACCTTTTGGGAAAATGATGAATTTTCTGAGTCACAAACTTTCTTTTGATTACTCTCAAGTCTGTAGAATGTGTTCTCAATTCTCAGTCAAAAATTTGGAATTACAGCTTTAATGGTTGGTTTTTGAATGGTGTATTGATGAAATGGAAATAAAAATATCAAAGAAAATATTTTATTTTCCCTCTCTCTCTTCTCAAACTCTCTCGCACCACTTCTTTTTTCCCTCTCTGATTCTCTAATCTAATTCTCAAACCCTTCCCCTTTTTTTCTTTTTTTCTCTTTCTGATTAGCCTCATGGTAGCACTCTATCTAGGAGTAAGTCTCTTATGTATCGAAGACGACCCTAATATGGGGTCAAGCAGATCAATGGAGACTATGCTATCAAAGAGTCCCCTTTGGCTTTATACAAAACCATTGTCCAAAGGTTGACAAACAAATTCGACACGATAAGGATAGAACATGCTCCTCGCTCCAACAATCGACACCCGGATGCCCTTGCTACCTTAGTTTCTAAGGTAGAATTTGCGGAAGAATCAACTAAGATAGAAGTTTTGAAGCGCTCCATGCCGTGCTTGGTAACAACTATCCTTCTTGAAAAAGAGCCCGCCGACTGGAGAGCCCCAATCATTGACGAGCTCCGTGCCCCCTCAGGTAAACTATCTTTGTGCGAAATCAAATTCTTCACAATTTACCAAGGAGTCCTTTACTACAGAGGGCCTGGGGTTCTGCTAGCACGATGCATCGACCTTACCGAAGTTAAGTCTAAGCTAGAAGGGGTTCACAATCGTTCTTGCGGAACAGGAGACGTGAGCCTCTACAGGAGGCTACAACGACAATGATATTATTGGCCTACTATGGCCAAAGAAGCAAACGACCTTCAAGGAAAATGCACCAAATGCCAGGAATTCGCTCCAAAAGCTGAATGCAATTTCGCAGAAATCACCTCCGATTGGCGTCAGGTATATATAGATTACCTCAAAGAAGCATCATTCCCAAGTCTTAAGGCCGGTCAAAATGGGGTGTCTACAGTTGCCTCTCTTTGACAGAGCTCGAAGTCATTTCCTGACGTGAGTGAATGTCAAAGCCCGAAGATGACCCTTTTGACAAGGCCGTAAGACTTGGGCAAACAAACAAGATGCAAATGCAAGTGGTTGAACCAGAAGGTTGCCTACGTATCCCGTTTGCAAGGAATCAAACCTGCGTAGTTCAGGGGCAAGATGCCGAATGATATGTAAAACATAACTTATGATCGTGCAATGAAATGCAATCAAGACAATGATGTGACACTGAACGACAGCATAAATGTTGGATGTAGTGAATGTGAGATCCAAACGCTTCGTCCGTGAGAGGAGGAAAGTGAACTTGAGATCCAAACGCATCTTACGCGAGAGGAGCATGTGAACTTGAGATCCAAACGCATCTTACGCAAGAGGAGTATGTGAACTTAATATGAAAACGCGTCTTACGCGAGAGGAGTGTGTGATCTTGAGATTCAAACGCGTCTTACGCGAGAGGAGTATGTCAAGTTGAGATCCAAACACGTCTTACGCGAGAGAAGTAAGTGAAATTGAGATCCAAACGCGTCTTACGCAAGAGAAGTATGTGAAATTGAGATCCAAACGCGTCTTACGCGAGAGGAGTAGGTGAACTTGAGATCCAAATGCGTCTTACTCGAGAGGAATATGTGAACTTGAAATGATAAACATCAAATCTTAACACGTTTCACATGAAAAGAGGGAAGGTAAAGTCAAAATCCAAACGCGTTTCGCGCGAACGGAAGAAGGTATAGTAGAATGATTAGGGGTAACCTCTATATGTAGAAGCCACCGATGCCGCTTTTCTTTTTTATTATATTCACAACTTTCCCTATTCTCCAACGGGGTGATAGACTAGGTTGGTTCAGTATCCAGAATTAAGGCGCATACACGCTACCTCAACCTATGGGGCTGCCATATAGATTTCAAGCCGGGAATACACCCCTAGGTGTTTAAACCAGACTTTAGTCTCGGAAATTCCAAACCTTTTGCATTCTAGGCATCGCCATTCGAACTCTAGTTTTCACCATCGCAGTTGATCTCCTAGGAACTCATTACAAGCATAGTCGGGTAGCTATACCAGACCGATTGAAGTTGTTCGGGCACAACAAACACCAAAGGAATTGCAGCTCTAGAGGATTTAAGGTCTCCTAGACCTCGACAAGTGCACAAGACAGTGCGATGTGCAAGATAGCGCGATGGATTGAGATTGTGCGGTAAACGCTTGATTGTGTGATAGATGTACAATATGGTTATGATTGTGCGATAGATGCACGGTACGGATGTGATCGTGCGATAAATGCACGGTACGGGTGTGATCATGTATATAAACAAAATATACACAGATATGTACATACGGTATACATATATTCATATACAGACATATACACAAACGAAGGCAGATGTATACATAGATATATACGGTATATATACACAGACAGATACGAATATATACACAAATATATACGGTATATCTACACATATA